GATCCCAAGGCTTGGGCTGTGCTTATTCCAGTTAAGGGTTGGTGTAAAGGAACTTGGGAAGGGTCCAGGATCAGCTCTGGGTCTGAATTCTGCATCCATGCCTCCTGTGCCTAGAACAAATTCACCCGAAGTAATCTAAAATGCATGAATGATAGCTTTGTGCCAACCCAGGTGCACTAGAAATTCAAGACTTAATCACTCAACAATACTAGCTGAGTTTGGCTAAATATCTAGATTTTGGGCCATTGTTGTTGTTTTCTGACTGCAGCAATACAGTTCCTAGGAAAAGGGTGGGGCTGTCAGTGCTGTTTGCATACCTATAATAAGTGTGTATGCTTGGTCACACAGTCATAGCCTGTGCATTTTTATAAATCTCCTTCAATCTGGGAAGTTTTAAATACAACATGTCATAGTTCAGTTCTGTGTTGTGGTGGTTGAGTAGATTTGCACAGGAGCTTTGAGGGGAGAGGATGTGGAAAAACATTTTCTTTACATGCAGGACTGTGAAACAGCTCTGAAAAAACCTATGCAATGTGTTTTCTTAATTGCAGATCCACCCTCAACTGATATTTTTATACAGGGGCATGATTTAACAGAACACCACATTGCCCATTATGCTTAGGATGTGTTAACTGCACTTAAAATGTAAGTGCTCACAAGTTCGAACAGCAAATATGATAAGTGTGAACATATCATAGCAAGGTTACAACTTTTGCAGGAGAAGCATCTCCAGATCATATAAAGTAGCATGTGTGCAGTTATTGTCAGACTGCGCCATGGAGATTATACAAGTTCAACCTTCTGACAGTCAGCTGAAATAGCCAAACTTCTCCTCGTACACTAACTCACTACAGTTGATTGTCAGTCCCAACCTCCACACTGCACCGCACCACAACCAGTTCAAGACTGCCAATAGCAGAGACCCATCGGCAAGTGCAGATCCAGTGGCTGGAATGGCACACTTCTCCAGGGCTTGACTCACTGTGCCCCCCACTGCCTGCTTCCAGCAGCAGAGACCTGGCTCAACTGGTGCGCTACAGGCACTAGATCCTGGACTGGGCAGTGCTGGGCATGCAACAGGGACAGTGCGGGTCCCAGGTGTGGGAGTTGCACATCTTCATGGATGGATGTGTGAGCTGTGGTACCCAGTACCAAGGGCAGTGTCTGTGGTGGGAAGAGGTTGGGAAGGAAAGGGAGGTGGGGGAGAGTGTGCTGCTAGCTCCAGCCCTGTCCAGAACAGGCTGAGATTGTAGTAAGCATTATGGTGTGACTGCTTAGAACACATTTTAACTTGTAATATGTCACGGTAATACTTGTTCTGATCTAAATATACCACATGTTAAGTGTCCCATGCAACAAAGCCCTGAGACACTATTTAACTGCCAGTCATAACTGCTGACCCACCATTTGCAATAGGTATGGGAATGTTAACCTTTCCTTGTACCCTAACTCACTGTAGCCTGGTAGTCTGCTATAAAACAAAAAAAGATACCAGAACCAACATAAGAAAAGACAGAGAATATGAGGTACTGGGCAAGTTTAGGAAACTCTTAATCAACAACTGCTCAGGACTCATTCACTGTCATGCAGTGACACTCCAGCAGTCTGACTGCAGAACACAATTCAGTTTAATTCAAATAATTTAGGACTCAATGGAACCAGTTGTTGTGTGAAGCACATGAGTCAAAGAAGAGACAACTGCCATCCGGGCTCTTTGGTACATAGGAATTGTGTCCATTGTAACTTCTGTTGAGATGTTGCTGCGCACTTCACTCTGAATATCCTGCTAGGTCTGCCATCCAATACAAAGCAAAAGAAAGTGGGATTTTGTATTGCTGTAGCTGGAAGACAACTCAAGGCTAGTATTTGCTGTATTTATTTTCACAGTTGTTTCACCATCACACAGTCTGTATATGGTAATATGCCTCACTGTGCTCTTGAAGCTACTCAGCCAACCACAAGAGATAAAAAACAATGATGGGTTATAAAATGAAAGACTATCAAATGAACCTAGTTTAACAGACTATGAACAAAGTTAGTTTGGGCCAGTAGAACTGAGCTTTGAGTCAGAAATCTTAGGGTGGAAATCTTCAGTATCCATTTGTACTGCCCACTAATACTTCTACCTACAAGAGCACATGATTCTGGGAGAGTAAAATGGTGCTATAGGTTAGTAGGGAAAACGAAAAACTTCTTCCCTCTAGTCTCAAGACTCTGGTCCGCCTTAACTCAAAAATCAATATGCATTTTTGTTCATTCACTAAACTTTAAATCCAGACAGAAATGTATGCAATCAAGTTTACACAGCACCTACCACTGCTGCTTCCACAAGCCTAATAATAGCAAATATGATCTTGTCCTGATACCTGTGACGCAAAAATGTGTTTCCATATCTTTAGAAGGCAAAATTTTGTCTATCTTGTTTGAAAGTGGAGATATATTTAATGAATCTGAATTTTGAAAAACACTTTGGCTTGTCTCTCTGGGCTGCATCAGTCACATTGTTACATAGCCTATCACATCCATTGTGTTATTAGGGACCCCAGATAATAGATATATTTCTATCTATTCAGTCAGATTTTTGCAAAGCTTGTGACAATTTCCTATTGATACAATTTCTTCCCAAAGTCTCTACTCAATGTAAAATTCACATTAAAGTCAACTATACAGCTCGATTTAAAGGAAGGTTGGCTACTGATTTTGAAGTTTTAAGGGATTTTTTTAATACAAATGTTTGGACTTCATCTTAGTGGCATATATCCATGATAGGTTTTCAGGGATGGTCTAGCTAGTTTTAACATGCTTTTCTTTCCCCTGTTAAAATAAGCAAACATTTGCAAGAAATTGTCATGTTTGTATCAGCCATTCTGCCTTCTTAATTATGAAAGGGAATTATGAAAGGAGAGAGAGGGAGATAGATGAGGAAAGGAACAGAGAAGAGACAGAAAGGAGAGGAGCAGAGAAGTAAACAAGGAAGAGTAAGAAAGGAAAGGAGGAGAGGGGGAAAACAGATGAGTGCATGTGGGAGTGAGAGAATGAGAGAAAGTAATGAAACTTCATTGACCAGGACAGAAAGAATGGAGGAGGAGAAAAGAAAGATGTTATACTCTAGTCATTAGGACACTGCTCTGGGACTTGGGAGTCTTCAGATCAAGTCCCATCTGCCAAACTTCCTTTGTAACCCTGGGCAAGTCACTTATTTCCAATACCTCCCTTTCCTATCTATCAAACACAGATAAAATAACGTTCTTCCCTCTCAGGGGTGACGTGAGGATAAATACATTAAAGACTAAGATGCTCATACCCTTCTGTAAGGGGATCATATAAATATGTGCTCTGGGAGGGGGCATTTTAATTAGAGCTGCTCTAATTAAAGCACCCGGAGCATCACGTGCATCAGTGTCCCCACACTGAATAATGGCAGCAGGGGCACTTTAACTTGTTGAGCGAGCGTTAGTTAAAGTGGCCCCGCTGCCATTTTTCAGCGCAGAGACACTGATGCACATGACCCTGGAGTCTGCTCCGACATGTTGTAATTACAGCGCATCAGAGCGGCCTCAATGTACATATACAGACACCCTTAGATTGGTGGTGAGGAGGTGGGGGAAGGGAGGAACTTAAAAGAAGAGCAGAAGCCTATTTCAAAGGGAATTTGCAAGCTTTAACAAATCTGTTCATGACATTTAATAGTGTTAGTTTTTTCTTTCCAGTGGAATGAAAACATGAATTAGACAACTTCTGGAGTTAGAAACTCTTATTAAAAAAAATAATCAAGGCAAGTAACAAACAGCTACTACAAGGATGTCTCCCAGAAGGAGAGCAGATTTGACATGACTATTTACCCATATTTTCAGCTCTTCTTTCTGTGCACAACAAAGATCCACTAAACAGTAGAGTTCTGGGGCATTAAAAGATTTTGCTCTACCTCCAAAAAATTCTTACTAATTGGAATTAAACTGTAGCTATCCTTTTGTAATAGCTCTTCCCATATCCTTTTTCCCGCCCCCCCCCATCTACCCTTCCTGTATCTCTCTTCTGTCACTTCTAACAATGACCATCACCTTTGTTTAGAAAGAGTCCAAAACACTTTGCAATGATTCATCTACTACAGGGGTGTCAAATTTACCCCAAGTCTCAGGCCAGATATGGAGCATGGAGGATCATCCCAGGCCTGATCCATGGGGACAGCTGCAGCTGTGGGGGTCCATATTAGGGTGGCAGCATGGGTCAGGTCTATGTTTGGGTGGCAGGAGCATAGGTCATGTCTGCAGTCAGGCAACAGCTTAAGTCCAGCAGCAGGGTCAGGTGCGTGGGCCTGCTGCCGATGGCCACATCCACCACAGTCCCTGGACCCCAAATTCTAAGGCAGACTTCACCCACCAACTTCTAGTAGCCTGTCAGACTACTGGTAAGCCACATGTGGGGTAGACTCAGCAGATGTTGTTTTGGGGACATGGGAGGCAATATGATCCAGTGGATAGGAGCTTAGAATAATGATGAGTTGATTCCACTTCCCGGCACTGCCATTGGCCTGCTTGGTTGACTATAGGCAAGTCATTTTACAACTCTGCTTCTTGGCTTCTGGAAAATGGGATAATGCTGCTCATCACAGTTCAGTACCTTTAGACCTGGGGAGGAAATGTGAGTTCTTTTAAGTGCCAAGGTTTGGAAAGAAAGAACTGTAGGAGACCTGTCCCATCTTCAGGCACCTAAATGTACTTGATTTGCTTAATGTGGCCCAAGTCACACTTATTTAAATTAACAGCATTTAGGGGAGGAGTAAAAAACCATACAGGATAAAGGTAAATGTTTTGCACTTAAGAATGTTTCTCCCCCCACTCCTTGAGCTGTTGTACTGTATATTATCACTGTCATCAGAGGGGGTGTGTAAAAGAACCTGAAAAACCAAACAAACCTGTCTGTAACGTGTTCCATATATCACAGAGCTGCAGGTGGCTTTATTTCCACAGTGCAGTGCACTGCTGCCAGAAGCCTCCTCATTCCCCTTGCGTCTGAGACCTACTTTTGGACTTAAGCACTGCAACAGGAGTAAGCTCCCATCCACACGTAAGCTCAGTTTATTTATCGATGTCGCTATTTTTAAGAGCTGCAGGCTGCCAAGGTGGTGTGTGTCTGCATGGTGATTTATCAGTCACCTACCTGATGCACTGTCTGCCCTTCTGAATTGTGCATCACACCACTTGTCTCGACAACAAGCATTTGATTTCAGTTTAACAAATTAGTGGGATACACATGTGAACCTCAACAAATATGATTTAATCAATGAACAATCCAGACCTGTCTCATTAAATCAAAAGAAAATGTTTGTAGCATGAACACTAATTGATTGCTTTTTACAGCACTGCACTAGCAGGAGTTAAAACTAACATTGAAAAAAAGATTTCCTGTTTAAACAACTGACTGTCTCTTCCCTTTTTTTTTTTTTCCCTCCAGAGTCTATTCAGCCAGATATGTGTGTATGTAAATGAGGTACCAGGTAAAGCTGAGAGATTATCTGATGTGACACATATAGATATCCTGTTTGCCTAGGAGATTTGCAAAGTAAATTAGACCTGCTAGTGACATTAAGAATAAATATTTTTGGCTGACATATACATAGTTGTGTAAGGAGCCACCGGTATAAACTGTGTACCTGAACACAATGGGGCTCTCACCTTTAAGTTGATTTTGCTATTATGGCATATTGCTGAGCCCTCCAGTGGTAGTTGCTGAGAGTAACTTTGTCACATGGCTACAAGTCAAGCATCAGACAGGAGCTCTGGCTTGGACCTGTATGGAACTAGATTTTTCCAGTTTGGATAAACAGTCTGTAGGTGAATTAAACTTCAGAAGTTAGATGTAGAGACAGAGCTGGAGTTCCCTAGGGTCCAGTTGGCTCGGCTTTGATTCAGGCCCAGCTTTACTTCAAACAGAACCCCTGTAACCTAAGTGCTGGTATCCTACTTGAAATGGATTTCAGCCTTGGAAAATCATCATGAAAATGTAGCCAAAGTGTGAAATCTAACCACCCCCATTACATGATGCCTGTAAGCATGCAAATGCTCACAGGCTTTTACCTGATAACAGCAAGAAGGTTATGCCAGGTAAATTTTTATTAGAATCTTTCAAGGATAGTATCTTCCCTTACCCAAGTACTGGCACACTTCCAGATGATATTAACTAACTCTCTTTAAACTATTAATTTAAAAATCAACTTCAAAGTAATATTTAGTACAAAGAACGGGTGTTGTCAGTATTTCTATTAAAAAGCAGTTCTTTAAAAGAGAAATTTTAAACAGGCATGGTGGGGGCGGGTTGTCCCATCAACTCTTGGCAGTTAGGAGAAACGATAGGCAAAATCCTGCCTTTGTTGAAGGTGATGGAAAATTTCTCATTGATTTCAACAGGATCCAGATTTGCCCCAAATTTTCTTGAGTTGCAAGAGGCAAACATGGCGTGGTCTCAGAGCTGCATTTCCCATCTGTCTGTACAGTGTCTCAGACTAGTGCACTTACACTATTGTAGATGGTCTTATACTTGTTTCTACCCCAAGCTTCTAGTTTGCCTGTTGCTTGTTTACTGTGCTCATGGAAGCATGTGTTTGGAAATGGCTGTTCCATATTAATCACAGCCGTGGGGATTTCCTGCTGTCACATACAGGGACATACAGAGTCTCCTGCAAGTGTGAAATGGCATTTCCCTTGGGCATGTTACAGGATCCTGGAGGTTTTGACCTTGATTTGAGGCAGTGAACAGGGATTATCTGTTGGGATCACGTAGACACATTCTACACTATCACTATCCTGTGATTGCTAAGGCAGGGTCATTGGTGAGCCTTAGTTCTTCCTGTCTTCATCTCTGTTTCTATATGAAGTGACTGTCTAGGTATTTGGTGTCTCAGGTTCATTGGGTTCTCTGTCTTGTCACCCATTGACATGGTCCAAACTAGGGATGAATTCTAACATTTGTTGAAGTTGGTGGAAAAAAGTCTGTGACAGGGGGCCTCCTGGGGCCGGGCTCCATGGCCCGCCCGCCTGTCACCGTGACAGGGGGCCTACTCAGGGCCGAGCTCTTTGTGGCCCGCCCCCCTGTCTCTGGGCAACCGCCCGCCTATCTCACCCGCCACGCCTTTGATGATAATGGATTCAATCCGATGTCAATTAAGCAAGAGGCTGCCCATTGTAGTGCCCCGATGCCAGGGGGCGCTCTGCGGCTCTGACCTCCCCTAATACCGCAGCACAAGCCTCACAGATGGCATCTCGGTGTTAACACTATCACCGGCCCCACGCTGGGCCCCAAAATCATCCTATACGACCCCACTATGATCTCTCCTGATCAGGCGGCCTCTCCGCCTTCATCTGGGCTACCTAGCCCCCCCGAAGCCTTGTTCCCCTCTCGGGTGTGGTTCCCCCGGAACCTTCAGCTACCTGGCCCTGGCCCACCTCAAGGCCAGTCGGGACCCCAGGCCTCCGGCTCTTGGGAGTCCCTCGCGGTGGGCCCCCGGCCCTTTTGACCCTCTCTGGTCCTGGCCCCCGCATGGGCCAGTCGAGGGT